CTTCATGGAGGTGAGAGGTTATCGAGAGGAGAGAAAGAGGTGTTTGGAAAAACATAAGAGGAGAGAGAGAGTGAGAGACACAGGAATAGAGAGAAAAAGATAAGTTTGGGGTATATAAGTGAAGAGAGCGAAATATGTCTTTCTCACATTTGTTTAGGTTAAAAAATAGGTTTAGGTTTATCAAGAAATGAAACATAAGAATAGGGGATATGAAAATATTTTTCCATCTTGTAACCCCTCGCAACTTTAAACCTATTTTTTAACTTAAATAAATATGAAAAATACATACTCTTTTTAAACTCAATCATTTCTCTATCTTTACTGATATACCCCATCTTTTTCTCTCTTCCTTTATCTCTCACTCTCTCTCTCTCTCCCCCTCTAGTCTATATATACATAGGGTTTGTTTGGATGTTATCACTGATAATTATTATTTTAATAAAATTAATATTGATTATTATTATCCTCTATAAAATTATCCGAGATAAACTTATATGCAATTTTACATATAAACTTATGTTTTTGAAAGGTCATTCTTACTTTATACAAAGTAACTTGCCAAAAATTGTATGTTTTTAGTTGAGAATAACTAAAAATAATTGACAATTATAAAAAAATTAAAAAATTAAATAATATTACATATAATATAAGATACATACCAAACAACTAACAAAAGAATATTATGTATAATATGTTAATTTATATAATATACTCTATTCTTGATATGTGGGCCCGAAATGACATGGTTAGAAGCCGTGAAAAAGATAATAGGATTTATAACCACACTGAGAGTATGACCCTTAATAGAGCAGAATGATAGACCAAAATTCATGTAGCCGACTCCAATTAATTAGAAAAAAGCTATAAGATGACGACTCTACTCTTGATAAAATTGTCATTCCGAGCTGTACAAAGAGTATATGAAATTCAGAAAAAAAACTGTTTTTCTGGCACAACTAAGCTCCGAGTGAAAAACGATTGGGCCAGGTCCAACATTGCCCGACCCTAGGAGCCTCATAATGTGGTTAGAAATCAGGCTCGGCTTGAAGGCTGGAGAGGGGGAACCCAGCTGGCAGCAACCTATTTTGAAAGAAAAGGATCATCCCCACTAATTTATTCAAGGTTCTTTCTCTTTCTTTTTTTTTTTTAATTTTTATTTTTGGGGGTAAGTGACTTATTCACGGTTAGTACATGCTAAAAGCCTATTGTACGACAAACTCCCTCAAGCAAAGAAGCTACTAAATTTTTTGATCCATCTAAGTATCATTATCTTCGTATTTTCAAAAGAAAAAATAATTTAAAATTCAAGTTATTAGACATCTACATGTTTCCCTCCAAATTTTGAACAATTTTTACACACTCTTGGGGATGTTATTTATTTATTTAAGAAACGTAGGGAGTGAGAGCTTTTTTATTTTTTTCTTTTCAAGTTTGTCATGGGATCTCAAGACTTCATCTCCTTGAGATCTAAAAAATGTTCCTGATATAAATTTGGGTGCAGTTTCCATACGGACGCCTCCGTAGGTGTAGAGGTATGGTGCTCTTCAAATTTTATCTTGGTATAAAATTTTGATGTAAAATATTATTAGGATTATCTCAAAATCTATTTTTCTATCTAATCAT